AAATTGAGCGACACAAACGTGTCATCGCAAGCCGATCTCGCATATCCCACTGTCCACAATATCAGCACACATCTGCTAACCACCCATCCCCAACCATCTCTATCACAGGTAAACTTACACTGAAAATTGACACTGGGGTAAATTTTCTGGCACCTCTCGTCTATCTGGCCCGTGAACAGCGCTTTGCAGTTCTCCTCACTCCAGTGCGTCACGCCTGCGCATTGGATCCCGAGGTCTAGGGTAGCTGTGTATCCGGGGATCTTGCCATTAACAGCAGCATAATTGTCCTGGCCGGGGACACAGGTGGGGATCTGAGCACAGGCTTTCTGGATGGCAGTGGCTGCGAGAGAAGGCGAGATTTGTCGGCCGAGGCATCGTTCTCCTATGGGTGAGAAACAGGTGTTGGTATTGTTTCCAGTGCGCGGATAGAGGCGAGGAGGGACGGAAAGTGCAACAATGGGCAGGAGAAGCATTACGAGAGCGGCGAGGTGCAACATGAATGTGTGGTAAAGTATAGTCATGAGAGTGAGTAGTAGTAGCAAAGCTATGACGATTTTGGGAATAGCTGTAGAAACATCAAGATAACGAAGGCATGTACCTACCTACCCCTATATATATCTGATGTTTCATATAAAAGCATTGCACAATAACATAACCTTTCCTATCGAGTTCAGGGCTGGAGGGAACGGCTTTTTTAACGTAAATTCTTCCATTGTTCGATGTGTTTTGGGTCCCAAAGCTGAACATCTCGGGGTAAAAAGCCGTTTTCGGTACTTCTCCGTCGATTGGGTAGCACAAGTTTCTGAAAATCATAAAGAACGTCGTGCTTGGCATGACAGCATCACTGAATTGAGGTTGTATGTGGCTGTTGTGGTGAGCTTGGCAATTTGGTTCACTTCCATCTTCCGTACGGACGAGGATCGAAGTAGCGCTGGTGTAATCTAGACCAACGTTCAATATGCAATTAGATCTGAGATATGTCGTACATGTTAACACTGCTTCAGGCTTGAAAGAAGGAGTTGTCATACCATTCACACATATGCTCGAGAAAATGGATGTGTCTTTGATGAGTTCATTGTATCTACCTTCCCATTTCTAATTTTTCCGAGAGGAAGAGTTCTTGCGAAAATCCAGGACCATGGATTCCTTCCAAAGATGAAGGGAAGAAAAAGGGACCGATATCTGGTACTGTTTGCCTGGCAGCGTCAACAGAAGCAAAATTCGCTTCGTACATAGGTAAACTGCAAGAAGGCACTTGTCACTTTCAATCAAGAGATTTGCCGGCGCAATGCCCATTCCCATTCCCATTGTGATATATATAATACTACCAATGAATTGCACGCAAAATTGTAGGAGTAATGCCGATCCAACGCCAAAGATGCAGATTTAAACGAATGTGTGTCCTTCACGTGTCCCCGTTATGTTACGTAATACCACCAGACCAGGCTAAATCAGACAAGGGAAAAGTCATGGCAAGACCGAATAAATGCCATCTTCCCCTCGTATTCCGTCCCATCGACCCGATGTCTAGATGGAGCAGCCGACATCGTATGCCTGAGAACCCGCTCCAGCCGGAATAGCCGAAGCCGCAACGTTGAAAAGCTTGCAGGTGTTTGAGCCGAAAGTGAAGCTCTTGCAACTGGAGTTGGCCTGGCACTGCTTCTTGCAGTCGGCACTGGACTGGATGTTGGCGGGCTGGCTCAGGGGCGAAGTGTTCTGGTTGGTAGGGCCGGACGGTGCAACGCCACAAGTGTCACGCTTTTGTTGCTTGCCACCTTGTTGGCCGTTGTTGCCAGTGCCCTGTTGGCCGTTGTTGCCAGTGCCCTGTTGGCCGTTGTTGCCAGTGCCTTGATTTGCGCCAGTGGGGTTGGCGGAAGTAGGCGTCACTGTTGGAACACCGGTGCAGCCTTTGTCGAAAGCGATCAAGTTGGTGCTTCCCTGGTTAGGAACCTGTGCAGCCGGAACATTGAAGAGCATGCACTTGATGGCCGAGTCAACCAAGCCGAAGACAAAAGACTGGCATTGCCCATTGGCAGTGCACTGGTCCTGGCAGCCCTGGGCGTTCTGAATACCGGTAGGTTGAGAAAGAGGACTCTGGGAGCCGCTTCCACCGGGAGCTGAGCCGCAGGTTGAGCGTGCAACGAGATTGTTGATGGGAGAGGCGCTGACAGAGGAGATGGCCAAGGCGGCAATGATGGCGGTGAAAGACTGCATTTCGAAGGTGGTTGTTGAAGTGAGAGATTGGTTTGAAGGAGAAAAGAGTTGAATCTTAAGAGAGAAAGAAGATAGAGAGAAAGTGTGTTGAAGTAAGTGATGGAAGTGATCGTGTGATGATGTTTCTTTCCCAGGACGACACCAGCATTCTTATACATAACCTCTCTCCTGACCGCTCCACTAACATTCTCTATCAACCCGGCGAGCTCCCTAGGACGCGTCGCCTGTCGTGAGTTTCTTCTCTTCTTCCTAACCCAATTCGAACGCAGACGTATTCCCCTTTCACCACTTCGCTAACCATCTTGCCAACCATCCGTGGCGCAGACACAATGACTACGTACCCACCACGCCTGTCTCTTCTCCTATTGAACTGCCGTTTCTCGACATGAACGTAATGCCGTTTGTCGTTTCCAGTCCTATTCGTCGCTCTAAAAACGGAAGTCGTGAAACAGCCTTGGGAACCTGGCAAGACGAGGGTCAACGTGTACAAAGCACTGCCTAGCTATTTAGTAAACTCAATCGTAATACTGTCGGGGAAACAATCTGCAAACAAGAATAGCGAAGCATTGCGGGCATTGCGGGCATAGCCATGGCTTTAATCCGGCCAGTTGTGATACGGTTCCTGGGGGGGATGAAACGCTATGCCATAATACACGGAGGACGAGTATGCCATAACATGACTGACCTCTTTAGGAACCTTGGGAAGTGGGGATGCGACAACACTATTTTCGGCACTTGGAAAACAATTGTTACGTTTTGATAAATCCAGAGATCTGGTTGGTGAATATTTTTAGAACGTGAATCGAAAAGTGGATTGATGACCTAAAAACAAGCGTCGTCAGCTTTTTGTTTGTTGTCTAATCACCTATTATTAGTCAACAAGGTCCCCTTTCTAGAGTCTAACCCAAGGATACACCTAGAGAATATCGAGTAATGTGTTCTGGTGGTTGCGTAAGAGTCGAAACATCTAATAGCCAGGTATTCGTGTTCTGCGAGTGAATCGTTGTTGGGATATTGACGTATGCAAACACTGCAATACTGAACTATGTTTGTTTATGGGTCTCCAAAATTTCTCGACTTATTAGGCGCCATTTATTGGGGGTTTGAGGATTTCAGTGAAGTTCATGGTTGTTTTTTGTCGTCAAGTGTGTGCTCCTGACCCTCTCCATAGATTCTGATTCTTCGAACACACTCACTTCCAGGTCGCATCGGTCCAAGAATACGCAGACTTGTTGACACTTTTCTTTAATGAAGTGGAGTCGATGTACCAGGGAGTCAATGGAAACATACTCAGTCACTTGTTAACATGCGTCATCAGACCATATGCAATCTAAAAGTTGTTTCGTCACATTATGGATCGATGGCATCCTTACTTTGGAAATGTCCCCCTGACAGCCTAACAAACATGTTTCGAACCGGAGTTTACACTAGTATATCTTTGCTCTTGTCTTTTCCTATTGTCTGCGTTCCATACCTTATTACTTGCAAAGCAAGCATTTTACAATTAGTCCCGGCTTAAGAAAGCAAGGAAAATAATTAGTTAATAAGAACAACGCTAGCAAGTAATGCACGCTCTATAATTGGTCGTTTAAAAGACAGGTAACGTAACTACTGAATGCCTGCTGCAAGCAAAAGGCCCGCTGCAGGCGCCTCTAGAGGAGCCCCGCTAGCAGGTAACAGGCTTCTTATGTACGACTAATTCTTTTCTTATAGAAAAGACTTATAAAGTAATAGTAAGAGTTTTTAACATAAGTGTAATTAACTCTTACGTATAATTAATGTAGAGGTAAATATAAGGTTTTAGCATTACGTAGGGTACCTACATAATTTAGATTATATAGCATGTTGTAAGTAATTAGGATTGAATAAATGATTACTTTGCAAGCTCCCTCCTAGGTCCGTTTACGCCCTAATAGAATTATCTTCTCACTTCTTTCCATCCATTTTGTTGTCCGAGCCCTTGAACCTCAACACATTGTGGGTTCTGAGATCAAATGCCACAATGCCAGCATTGAGTACAAGAAAAAAGAATAGTGCAATAAGAGATGGATGTGTACAGGTGCGTGTGAAAGTTGGATTACATTCATTTCGACCGTTAAGAGTTCCGGCCTACAACCATACAGTGCCTCAAAAGTACTCCATCGTCTCGCCCGCAAGCACTTGGCAAACGCAAATCTTTGTACCCATAAGTCAACATTTATACTGACTTTTATACTCCACATCACCCACATTTACAGAGCCCTTTTCCCACTCGTCGACATTACCTTCCAATCGGCGCGCCACCTAGTCTATTCTCGATTGTAATCACAAACTCCTTCGCATCATTTTCCTTCAGGCAATGAGTTAGTTACCCGAAAGCAATTCCCTACGATATGCAGCGTATATTCAAAGCCCTGAAATGGAGGGCTTCATTGAATATTTGGTGATCCATTGGGATCAAGGAGAGAAAGTGGCAGTTTGAGGCCAATGGAGATAGAACAAGACTGAGAATAATCTTTGAGGCAATGTTTGAAAATGAGAAGAAACAAAGGATTTTCTCAATTCAAGATCCGGAGTGGAGTTTGTGACTAGCGAGGGCGACTAGGGGCTACTTTCACAGGTTTCTTGACGAAGCCCCACTACCCCGCTCCAGAGGTGGTACCGCAGAATTTTCCGTACAGCAGCACTCTGAACTCGTGAAATCCTTCAGACGTCTTCTGTTAAACGCTCTTGCTGTTGCTCGGTTTTGACATGCGTATATAAAGGGTTTATTTACGCAAAACTTATATCTCATCAAAGACACAACCGGTCGATTAGCTCAGTTGGTTAGAGCGTGGTGCTAATAGTTCCTGCTATGCGACGCCAAGGTCATGGGTTCGACCCCCATATTGACCATAAGTTCAATAACTCCTTGATATTATCTTTTTGTCTTTCTTTTTGCCTTTCTCTTTGGTCCATTTCACAGTCGAGATTAACTTGGCGCTAGTGGCGCTTGTCGGTCGAGCACACTTATGAACACTGCAAACTTTACATCATCACCTTACATTGATTCACGTTGGTGGGCTTTAATATACATGACAAAAGTACTGGAATTTTTAACAGCTAGTGGATATATCAAGCTTATACATTCGATTATTTTTGAAAGCAATACATTGAATATGCAACTTGCAAGCTGCTGGTGTGCTTGCTTTCAACAACATGTTGGCAGGGAACCCCTTCTCTGGCCATCTTTCCCATGAAAGAAAAGATGTGGTGGTCCTTGAACGTCTGGTTGTCTCTGTCTGTAAGGGGATAACGAAAGGCTCATATCTCAATGAGGCTATCAGTAGGACGACGTATCTCGAGGTGCTTGCGGATTGGCGATCCGCCAAATCTGTATTGGGATTGATGTTGAAATGAACGGACCGTCTTGTTGATGCTCTGACTTCTGTGGAAAATCGATCAATTCCATACTGAAGCCGTTGCGCTCTACTCAAGAAGAATTAGTACTGGCTTAAACATACGCCTTGCTTTTCCCTCCAATAAACTTCAAAGGACGGAAAGACATACTACACGCCGTCTGAAATACCTCAAAGGTCTGTTCGTTGCGGATCGTTGCGGCAATGAGCACTTGGAGGGCTGGGTTTAAATCGAATAATTCCCTCAGTGATGACACGAGGCAAGGAACGGCGTATTTGTCATAAGTCTCAGAGTCCGTAAGCCCAAAATTCAAATTGAACGCATGTGCAAAAAGCTTACAACATCGGCGCCGAGGACCACATCCGGCACTTCCATTCCATAATCTTCTGCAAAACTTGATGCATTAAGAGGCCAACCCCATTTCAAAGCTGCCGTTCGAATAGTCGAGTGGTTCGGCCCTTCGGAATCAATCTTGTTGAGGAAAATGTTTGTTTTCAGTGCATCAACAATGCCTTCATTTCCGTCTGTGGCAACGATGGAAGAAACTCCAAGATATTTCGCGCAGAGAATCGAGAGCATACCTGAACCTGACCCTAACTCAAATACTCTTTTACCCACAACCTCCATTTGTCCTCGTTCCGAAGTAAGAAACGATGCAAGAAGAAGGGAGGCTTCCCAAGTGCGGAGTCCCGTCGTACCAGCTGAAGCAAGAACCAAGCGAGATTCGAGGACAGTTATCCTGTATTCATCGTCTATACCTTTGTGGGAGCGGGAGGGGTATTCATACGTGACGAATGCCTTTTGTTGGATTGTTGTCGATTCTGGGGCAATTTTGGAGCTGAACAGAACTGCCAGGGTGGACATTAGATCATCCGAGATTTCCTGTATGTAGGAACGCATTAGTTGTTTATAGTGAGGAGTTAAAGTAAAGAACTTTTCTGAATGAATAGAAATCCTGCAGTGGCTACGTTTCACATCCAGAGAAGGGTAGAGAGGGGTTCCAAGGATACCACTTTTGCATATAAGAGTGTAGTATAGGGACCTGGTATTGTTGCTCTGCCCTCGACCCTTCATGGACTGTTCAACGTTCTCCTTGCAGGTGGAAAATGAATAGTACTTGTAGACCAGAACACTATCTTGAGGAAAGGGGTCACCGTACATCCTTCTCCGGGTCAAAGATAGACCCTTCTAACTTTGCGATGAGGAGCTTTAGAGCTCTGAGCTGATATTCTTCTGGTGGTGGGAAAGCCACGCTCTCCACGTCAAACATCTTGTTGAACATCCAAGATTGAACATCCGAACGGATCAAAGTGACATCATCTGGCCATCTTATCTTGGAGGGCTCAACTAGCTGGAAGTACTGTCGACGTAGCGTTGTTAGTCTTGACAGAGTATCCGAGTCCATGTTCGAATCCGGTGAGTCCATAATTGGAAGATGATCGGCGTTGAGAAAGAAAAGTAAATGTTGCGGATCCGCACTGCTTTACATAAACTCTATGCCACATAGGAATGTGTCAGACCGCACTGAGCGGGAGGCGTACGTATCTTCGTCTGCTCCTTTGAAAAAGGGCGCATGCGACATGGGTAGTGTTGAGCGGAGAAGGCTCAATTTACGTAATCAACGCTATCGTCCGTTCTGGACTAGCGTGGCACCGGAGCAAGCGAAACGCCGGCCCACAACCGCAAGCACCCATTTTGACAACGACAATTCTACAGACCGACGACGCCTGCGGCCACAGCAACACCAAGACATTTTCCTCACCAGTACGTCTTCTCCGTTAACCACGTCGATCGTTTCGATTGCATCCACGGGCCCAAATTTTAACACCTCCACAGTCTGTCTAGGTCGACACCACATACAACATGTCCGACTCGCAGGTAACCCTGCGCACGCGCAAATTCATCCGCAACCCACTCCTCGGCCGTCGCCAGATGGTTGTGTAAGTCCCGGAGCCCTCGGCGATACTACAAGATCGTGATCTTGAAGAAGAGTTGGTCTGACAGCGATTTTCAGCGACGTCCTCCACCCCAACCGCGCCAACGTCTCCAAGGACGAGCTCCGAGGCAAGCTCGGTGAGCTCTACAAGGCCAAGAAGGAGGATGTATCCGTCTTCGGATTCAAGACTCACTATGGTGGCGGCAAGAGCACCGGGTTCGCGCTCGTCTACGACAGCAACGAGGCGATGAAGAAGTTTGAGCCCCACTACAGGCTCGTGCGGTACGGAATGGCGAGCAAGATCGAGAAGGCCTCGAGGCAACAGCGTACGTTTCCTATACTCTTAACGCGGACACGGATAGAAGTCCAGGAAACACAACCACGACTGGTACACAGGATAATGATGATGATGTATACTGACGGTCCATCACAGGCAAGCAGCGCAAGAACAGGGCAAAGGAGCACCGGGGTACAGCCAAGACGAAGGGCGGAAAGAAGAAGTCAGAGAAATAAACGGATCGCCAATGATGACGGTGGTTCTCGGGATTCGGTGGTTTTTCTGGGTCAAGTGGTGCTTCACGATGGACTGTGCATTGCAGTGGGCATCATGTACAGATACGAACAACGCCTGAAAAGACCTGGCATTGCGAAAAAGCACGGCATGGCAAAGTGGATGGCGTTCGAGATTCTTATGTCTGCTCTCTCTCCATCAATGCATATCATGGACCTTTAGGTTGCCTACATATACCTCCTTCACCAATGGCTTCCATACGTGGTGTCTAGTCGTGATCGTTTCGACAACGTCGATGACCACCGGTACAAGATCAAGACAGGATTCCGGCCACATAATAGTTGTTCATCTTGGCCGATTGTAGTAGGCTGAAGCTCAGTTGGTCCAACTATCGTTGATGTCCACCTTGGAACCGCCTGGGATTTTTGCAATCAAGGTTGACGTGTACGAAATCCAAGACATATGATTTGCATGCTGGGTAATTAATGTTTGTGTTCTGCTACGGGAGGAGAAGTGCCGACCGACTGCTTCATAGATGCACAACCATGGCCCCCAAATTCACCCCCGCCACTATGTATGCGAATAATCCCGCAAAACTCCATGCTTCAAAATGTCTCACGGTTCTCAAAAAGCTCTAGTTTGCTTACAGCAGCAGCTCGACATAAGCGCGTCCATGGCTCGTTTATGTACACTTATATCAATCAAATCAGGGTTAGTAGTCCACGTTTAGGGTACAGAGTGATGTTTGTGAAATGTTTTTTCTTCTTTCTTTTCCACTTTACGTTTACGCTAGTGTGAATTGCCATATTATCATATAGTACCAGTATCCTCCATTTTGACATCACTGCAAAAGCTCGCACCTGCCGTTTCCATCACAGGTGCAGGCACAGGGGTGAGTACAGGCACTTGTGCTTTTGGCATCTCCAAAAATCTTTTGGGCACACCCACCGCAGGCTGCATACTCATGAATGCCCTCATGTTATTCGGATTTGATCCACTCTTCGATCTCGGCCCAACATAGCACCCCAAACTTCCACTCCACTGAAACCCACCTCCCAAAACCGCTCTAATCACCCCATATGCTCTGGCATCACGATACGTGATGCCAGTTGCTGGATCTCTGTACCTGGCGATCTGATTGCTGATGGCACACAACTCCGTCTTGGGTTTCAAAGCTGGAAGTCCAACCATGTCCTTTTCTCTCTTGGTGATTGATTTCGGCTGGGTTAGCATAGCGTTAATGTAGAGGGTTGACTCGGCGATAGACCAATTGAACAATGCAGAGCTCAGTTGTATCAGCGACGAGCGATCCTTGTCTTTCATAGTTGCGGTCGTGGTGCGTGATCGACTAGGAACATGATCGTCGAGATTGGTAAAGGAGGAGAGGATGAGGAGATTACGGAGCGCGCGACGGATGGTTTTCCGTCGTGGGGGTGCCGCAGGCTCTACGGGAGGCTGGAAGGTGGAAAGAAGCGACTGGGCATTGGTAGAGTCTGAGTTTAGAGAATGCGGCTGGGAAAAGGGTGGTTGAAAAGCCCCAAAGGAGTCTAATGTTGGATGTTCTAAGAAGGGATTCTGGGGGAGCGATTGGGGAGGATACATCTGAGAGTGGGAGTTTTGTGTTTGTGTTAGAGAGGGGTTCTGAATCTCAACATATTGTTCGATGCCGTACAAAAAAGTGTCCTTTAGAGGAAACATGACAGTGTTTGGGTAGGGGGCACCATATGAGCCTCCATGATCGGACTGTCCGAGTCCTTGTGAAATTTGTGGCATTTCTGAATGTGACAATGATGACTGGGGTTGGAAAGGAGGCGGTATTTGCGAGAAGCTTTGAGAGGTCTGACTTTGATCAACGAGACTAGGATCATGCTGTGCAAGCTTCTCCTGGGGCGCTGAAGACTGCTCCGCATTCTCAGATTGAATGGTCTGCGAAGGATCGTCCTTGTTTAGCTTTTCCTCCAGTTCTTCTATTTTGGGTGCATCTTTCCCCGTATATTTGAGCTTATCATCAACCCAAATCGCCGGTCCGCTATAGTATCGTATGAATGG